AAAGGGGGAACCAATCACAAGGATCTATATATAACCTCCTCCCTGGGGGATGGGCAACAGAAAAGTGGGTGAGGGGAAATGCCGGGCAGTGTAAGATAAGATAAAATAATAATTTATAAATTACCAAGGGTTCATGAGGGAGGGGGGAGTGGGGAGGAGGGGGGAGGGGAAAGAGGAAAATGAGGAGCTGATTCCAGGAACCCAAGCGGAAAGCGAGTTTTGAGAATGATGAGGGCAACGAATGTATAAGGGTGCTGTACACACTTGATGTATGTGTGGGTTGTGATAAGAGTTGTATGAGCCCCAATAAAATGATTTAAAAAAATATTTGGCCCTTAAAATCTTTTAATCTTGCCACTCCAGGCAAGGTTTGAAAAAGTTTTTTGAGTTCTTTCAGTTTAAGAAATGCTAAATGTGTTCTTCCTTTTGGGCTTTCTAACTCTGGAGGTGTGCTGGTCATTCTAGTATTTTCCTTTGTCTTCTTGAGGCCACCTTTGACATTTCCTGTTCAGATCTTTGACGTCATCATTTCTCCCATTCGCCACAGCCACTCTATAATTAAGAGCAAGTTTTAGGGTCTCTTCCTAAATACACCGAGATATTTTCTTTCTTGTCTTTTTAATGACCTTTAGCTTTTTCATGAATGATGTTCTTGATGTCATCCCACAGCTGATCAGGTCATTAGTGTTCAATGCATCAAATCTGTTCCTGATATGTTCTCAAAATTGATGTGGGCTATACTCTAGTTCATATTTTGGCTCTCGTGTATTTGTTTGAATTTTCTTTGGCTTCAACCTGAACTTATATATAAGCAATTGATGGTCAGTTCCACAGTCAGCCCCTTGCCTAATTTTAGCTGCTAATATTGAGCATTGCCATTGTCTCTTCCCACAGATGGAATCAATTTGATTTCTGCATATTTCATCTGGAGATGTCTATGTGTAGAGTCACTTTTGTGTTATTGAAAAAAGCTATTTGTGAAGAAGTCATTAGTCTTTCAAAATTCTGTCATGAGATCTCCAGCTTCGTTTCTATCACCAAGACCATATTTTTCAACTACTATTCCTTCCCCTTTGTTTCCAACGTTTACATTCCAGTCTCCAACAACTTTCACTGCATCTTAATTGCATGCTTGATCAAGTTCACACTAAGAAATTGGTAGAATTCTTCAATTCTTCATCACTAGCTTTTGTGGTTGTTGCATAAATTTGAATAATAATTGTATTCATTGAATTTCCTTTTTTGAAGGCTGATAGATATAATCCTGTCACAGTGGCATTGTATATTTCAAAATAGATCTCAAAATGTCTATTTTGACTCTGAATGCAAAGCTGTTCTTCTTGATTATGTCATTACCACCATAGTAAGCCATAGGGTTTTTTGATTCAAAATGGTCGGAACCAGTCGGTTTTAGCTTACTGATGTCTAGGACATCAATCTTCATGCGTTCCATTTCATTATGACTTCCAGTTTTTCTAGTTTCATACTCTGTCCATGGCAAGTTCAAGTTATTAGATTTTTGCAGCTGTTTCTTCTGACTTTGAGCCATGCTATATCAGCAAAAGAAGACCCCAAAGGTCACCGTAACTACAATCAATTCCAGGATATTTATTTCTCCTTATACTCTTTGTTGTTAGTTTCCTACTTCCCACCAGCCTCTCCTACAATGTCCCTTCGAATCTACTAATCTAGTTGTTATTTTTATAGGCATAACTAATCTGGGTTTCATCTACAGACAAAGTACAAAATCAAGACAAGTTACAAACACACAGCCCAAGAATCATACACACATAGCAATTATACATAGGATCAAGAGGGAAATGTTGACCTAACTAGAACGGCAGTAATTGGCCTTACAATTTACTCTGTCTGAAAACAAGGCCTTTCCCAGCTCTGCCCACAGTCAGAATGGATTCAGCAGAGACTTAATCTGCCTGGGAGACCCAGCAAATGGGTTTTGGACTTTCATTGCCACCTGCAGCATCCTACAAAGCAGATGCTCAGAGTTTAAGCTCTAATCCCACTCCCTGCTCCTACTTTGGATTTTATTATATAGAATTCTTAATTGGCAGGGGCTGGTGTGCTTCTTCAGTGTGGACTTCACTGATGACCTACTTAGATGGCGGCTTGTTTTAAGACTCCACACTATTCTTTCTGATAACTGAATACATCTGCTATCTTCACCACACTTTGCTGTAGCATCCGTATCCTCAGTGACAACTTTCTGGGGAGGTACTGAGCAGGGCTATGCCATAAGAGCACATTGTTTTTAGATTACAGTTACTGTTAAGTGAAAGCTCAAAATCCAGCCACATATCTATGGCTTATGCATATATCCCTGGCTCACTTTACAGAAATATTTATTTATTATTATTATTATTATTTTTGTGAAAGGGCTTTATCAGTTATCCCCATGTTAGATATGTTAGTTATACTGATATTACCACTAATTTAGACAATGGCATAGAATTTAAAACACTGTTGAGAAAAAAGTTCATGTATAGGACAGTTCTTTAGACCAAAATACATGGATCATTGATTTGTGCAGATTAAGAACTTGGGTGACTAAACACTCGTTACACCAACAATGAGGGTTGGGGATAGGGACATGTTTTTCAATAATGCTCATTCAAAACGAAGAACTGGGTTATACATGTAATCAAAAGGCAGAGAGCATATGAAAATAGCACATATTTGGTAGTCTTCAGTTATCACGTCTTGGGCACCTTCAAGGTAAGAATTTTGAACCAAAGTCCAATCCAATGACTTCCACATTCAGATTCTTGGGATAGTAGTCATCTGATTCTTCTCACACTGGGGCATTTCAGCCTTGGCCCCATGGAAATAGTTCCATTCCTTTAATCTGCTGTCTCTGTGTTTAAGGAAAGTCTAGTTCACTTAGTGGGAGTTTCATATTAGATCCTTCTGTGTGATCTATGGAGGATGTTGTGCACCGTGAAAGGATAGAGTCTGAAGTTCTGGTTGTCCATAGGACATGGCCTAGGTCACCAAAGGCTAAATACAAACTAGGTCAAAAGCACCTGATTAAGGACATGATACCCAGATTATTTTCCTGTTGGTGTATATACTAAATATTGAGCATTTTCCAATGGCATGCGGCCCTTCCCACCCCCCACCCCCCAGCAATTTACCCTCCTGCCCCACTCAATTTACCGACCAACTGAAATGTAGTCGCCTTTTATGGAACAGACATTGCCCTCCACCACCTCTTGACTTGGGTTCAGCAAGGTTCACTAATGGCTCCTATAGGAGTGACCATAGACTAATGTTTTATGGCAGGAACTCATTGGTCTTTTCCCTCTCTCAGCATCATGGGAAACTGACCCAGTGGAAGTGAGGCCTCCTCTATTGAAGTTGTCCTTAAGATGTACAAATCAAGGGGTGGTATATGTTTCATGAGCTCTAGGCAAGCCCACTACCACATCACGTGGGAAACTGGAATAGAAGCTTAGATGACTTAAGAATAGAAGTTTGAGTGGGTAGGAAAGAGGGAACCGATTCCAAGGAACTATATGTGACCTCCTCCCTGGGGGACGGACAACTGAAAAGTGGGTGAAGGGAGACGTCGCACAGGGCAAGATATGACAAAATAACAATTTATAAACTATCAAGGGCTCATGAAGGAGGGTGGAGCGGGGAGGGAGGGGAAAAATGAGGACCTAATGTCGGGGGTTTAAGTGGAGAGAAAATGTTTTGAGAATGATGAGGGCAATGCATGTACAAATGCGCTTTACACAATTGATGTGTGTATGGATTGTGATAAGAGTTGTATGAGCCCCTAAGAAAATGATTTTTAAAAAAAGAATAGAAGTTTGCCTTTGTCTTGGTGTTTATTTTTATAGTAGTGATCTCAATACAATATTTGTCATTTTGTGATTGGCTAATATCACTCAACATAATAGATTCCATGCACATCCAAGGCATGGGTGTTTCATAACTATTTTTTTTTAAGGGATGCATAATATTCCATTGTGTATATGTATCAGAGTTTCTTTATCCGCTCTTCTACTGATGGGTATTTGGTCCATTTCCAGCTTTTTGCTAGTGATCTGTGCTGCAGTGAGCAAGAGCGAGCATGTGTCTGTTCACGGTCTCTCGCTTATTCCTCTGGGGTGTTTGACCAGCAAGGGTATTGCGGGTCGTATGGTATTTTTATTTCCAGTTGTTTTAGGGCATGTCATACCACTTTTCACAGTAGTTATACAGTGACCATGAATGTTTTTCATGAGTTTGTTAGTCATTTGATTGTCATTTTTGGTACTCCATCTGTTTATATCTTTTGGCTGCTTTTTATTGGGGGCATTTGTTATTATCATATTGAGTTGTTGTAGAATTCTATAGATGTTGGTCATTAGACCCTGGTCTGTTGTGTTGTTGCTAATCTGTTCCCCCTCCAATCTGTGGGCTCCTGTTTTACTATTGTGATGAAGTCTTTGGATAGCATAGGGCTTTAGATTTCGCAGGTCCCACTAATCTATGTTCTTTCTCTGTGTGTGCTTCTTTCATTGCCCTTGGTAGTCTTTGTACGCTCTGCAATGTGGCCCTTAAGTTTGTCCCATTTTTTTTTCACTGGTGATCCCAGGATTTACAGTTCGGGCTTTAATCAATCCAGAGTTTGTTTTTGTGTGTGGGGAGCCATGTGGGTCCTGTCACCGTCTTCTTAATGGCAGTGGATTGCCAAGGCTTTCTCTGAAACACTGTGGCTGGGCTTGACACGCCAATCTTTAGGTCACCAGCCAAGTACATTAACCATTTGCACCACCATGTACAAAACAGAGACATGATTTCTTCCACACTGTTATAAAATGATGCATTCACCACAGCAGAATTATGATCTAGGCAGTATTTCAATTGTTAGGAACTTTAAACTTTAGGAATATTTTAAATGCTCCTTTAAATTGTTGATAGTAATTTGTTAGTTAGAAGAACTTTTGAGTTGGAAAGCTAATCATATACATGATTGCTCTTGTCTGTTAAAGGTCTCAGAGTCGCGGAATCTCTAGAATTGACCTTAAGTGCCCTTCTTTTTGTGAAATTCTTCCTTTTCTTGATCCTTCTGGTCATCGTGGGATTTGTTTACTTTCAGAGAACAAATGACTACAGGTACAAGCTGAATTTTTCCTAAATTGCAAAGCATAATGAGGATAACCGATAAAAGGGGTTATAAGAAATGTAGGGGTGGGTGTGGATGATAGGGAGGGAAAAGAAACTTGGGGAGTATATAATTAAGGCACTAGAACGGATTGCACCACGCATTTTAAAGCAATTTAACTATGGGGTTGGGGGAGGCAATGTGGAGGTGATTGTCCAATCCTCCTGGATATGACTGAGCTATTGAATTGTATGATATGTCAATTATGTGCCCCTCCAAGTTCACAGTGTCCTAGGGAACATTGAAAGTGGCTTTGGCACATGCATTTACTTCCCCATAAAGGCTTTGCTGATAGTGGAGCCCAGGCTTTGCAACCCTGGGGCGAGGACTTGTGTTTCGTAGTAGTTTTTCCCTTAGTTAGCCCAACCGTAGCCCACTTGTTGAGAAGTTAGTGGGAGGAAATGAAGTAGCTGAGACGTCTTGAGTGTTTACTTTCAGTTTTCCAAGGACTTCTGTTTGCTCCCGATTAATTACATATTTTATCTTTTTTTACCCTAGAGCATGAAAGTTCAAAAAAAAGATGTAAGTCAACTCAGACTTGATGAGATATCACCAAAAACAACCAAAAATACCCTACAGCCCCAAGCCAAAAAACAGTCGTTTGCAGGGAGCTTTCTAGTTGAAAATCTAGCCTCACCGTTCCTGTGACTCTGCTATCTGCATGTTTGTGAGAATTGATACGAGATTTGACAAGACCTGTTTGTGGTTTAGATCCATTTCCCTCAATGTTTTTGAAGCCCTCTAGTATATACATTGTTCAACGATAATGACCATGTTCTAGATCCACTCTGCGCTGGTCCGCAATCTTCATGGATACACACACTAATCCTACAGTAAGACATCAAAAACCCAACCAAACTCACTGCCATTGAGTCCATTTGATTCATAGCAACCCTATAGGACAGAGTAGAACCGCCCCTTTGGGTTTCTGCATCTCCAACTCAGAGACGTTGAATCTCAAAGACTTCATTCTTATTCCCTTCCCATTCCAATGTAGGTGAGTGGGGCTAGATAGGGCAGGGAGCAGGAGGGGCTCTGCTCTATGTGGATATTTTATTCTGTGGTTCTACTGTGTCCAAAGTCTTTTCTATTCATCTGGTAACCTAGAAAAAGAGAGACTGAAGAATTTCAGATGGGAGGTTGTTATGGGCCGGCCTAACAGTAGCAATCATTTCTGCTCATAGCCCCACTGGTTAGCACTCTATCACACGGCCAAACTCACTTCGATCGAGTTTGGAAAATGTAGTCTGGGTGTCCAGTGAAACATGGAAACAGGTTTGGTATGTATGTAGTCAGTCTCTATAGCAATTACTTAATCTCCTGTCAACTTGAGTGAAGGGGTAGAGGCTAGCCTGTCAATCAGGTCATTGCAAATGAGGCCTCTGTGTGGGCATGGCCTTCGCTTGAGGATTCTGGGAACTCTTGTCTTCCTCCCTGGAGGTGGGACACACTCCCTGCTACACATTCGTGTTGGCAAGCCACATGGAGCTACCCTGATGGAGCCAGCGCCCCAGAACTGGAGGAGCCACATGGAGACCCCTGCCAGCGTTGAGATGCTTCTACCACCACTGAATCCACAAGACTTTCCACCTACTGGCTTGTGATCATCCTTGGCATCATTGCATATGTTGTGTGAGTCAGAAGAGGAATTTATAGACTGGTATCGGATATATGGGCTACTATTGGACTTATGGACATGATCTGGACTGGGCTGGGATTTTTTCAATATACAATTGCTTTTTTATATAAAGCTCTTTCTTATACACATATGAGTCTCCCTGGATTTGTTTCTCTAGTCAACCCAGACTAACACAGTGTCTACCCAAAATAAAAAAGAAAACAGGACTCATATTAACACTTCATTAGTAATTGAATATGAGTCTATCAATAAATTAGTAAATAATGTGTTACATTTACAACAAACGCTTTCTTTTTCTAAATTTGCCTTACTTCATGTTTAAGATTAGACATAAGATAGAAGGAAATCTACTAATAAAATTCTGTAACACTCAAAAATGTGTCAGAACTTGCTACTTCCCTGGTCCCATCCCCTTCTCCTTGGAATACATAATTATGTGAATGACACAAAATCTTCCCTGTGTCCTCTACTCGTGTATTTTGTCGGTTCATTTTAGACTCCCCCCAGCCCCCACAAAGAGAGTGTTCCTTTGTTCCCCACGTGTAATTTTCTTTGGGCAATGAAATGAGGAAGGAGCCGTAGTTCTGAGCAGAGGCCTCAAGAGGTCTTGCTGGTTTTTCTAGTCGCTATTTCATGGAAACATGCCTGGCCTAGCCTGCTGGAGCATGATAAACACACAGCAGAGCTAAGTAACCCCGTGCCAACTTGCACCTCACTGTTGAGGCCACCTGGAGACCATCCATTCCCTAGACCCGTGAGGAAGTTCAGACAAGATCAACAGCAGAGCTGCCAGCAGACAACAGTTAATTGTAACATATAAGCAATTTTTGCCATCGACGTTTTCTGGTTCTTATGTCATATTAGCAAGGCAACAGGTAAGTTATATATTGCTTAGGGTTGTAGCTAGCTAAAAACATTTCTCACTTTTCATTTGCCAAAGAGCACTCTAAAACAGGCGCTTGGCATAAGTTACATGTCTTATACAAGTCTGAATCAGGCTCCATTTTGTCCTGGGTCTAAATTTCTGATTTTTAGAGTCTATGACCCATGATCGCACTCTTTCAAAACATGACTTGCTCTGCAACATTCTTATGTGTCCCCCCCCCTCACCCCCCAGAATGGCTGCAGAACCCATCTCTGAAATACAGGAAAGTGAGGCGAAGGTGGTCTCTCCCAGCCAATAGAAACTCTTGATAAACGAGGATTGCAGAGCATCTTGACTATAAGCCAATCAAATGCATCCCTGGACTCCTTCCTAACTCTTTACATAGTTCTGCAAAATTGAGCATAAAGGACACGTGCTTATGCTCCGTCTTTCAAACTTTCATTTTGGTACCTCCCAATTTGTCAATCTTTGAATCAGAAAAAAAAAAAGACTCCTATTTCGCAAAGTGTCTGCTTCAGTTTTGACAGCTGACCATGACTACCCTTGCAAAGTTTGTCTGATGAGATGTAAACATAAGGCTTGTGTAAGATTTCTAGGAAGGGCACTAAAGAGAAGGGAGAAGTCCTCGTTTACTTTCCCTCCTCACCAGCTCTTCTTGAAGTGCTATTGTGATGACCGAGCTCCAGCAGCCTCTCCTGCCCGGGGTGACCTTGAGAATGGAAGCACTCGCTACGACAGTGGAATAGAAAGTTGGGAATATCCTCAGCCCTAATGACTATGGAATTACCCTACCAACCATAGACTGCTGAACTATGAGTGTCCGTGATGTGAGAGGAAAAGAGGAAATAAATGATTGTGTTTTAGTCACTGGTACTTTGAGTGTTCGTCTATAAGGAGCTAGCCTGAAGCCTGAGGGAGAAACAGAATGACTGAAATCCAGAGGATTTGATTGTGTCAGTCTTTTCCCCACTATCCCCCCCCCTCCCATCCTTCCCAAAAGACATATTTAGGAATTCATGCCACCTCTTCGTTGCTCTTAATTCTAATTGTGCAGAAGAATAGTATTTTTGCCGTCAGGGTTTCCTGAGTGATAGTAAATTGGAAAGGTCAAAGCAGCAGCCATCCCACCGCCACACTTATTTTAGTGACGTGAGAAAAAGAAGATGAAATATGTACATAATAATTCATATAGATAATGGCTATATGCACACATTTTTGTATACAAAAATTGATTATGGACTTACCTCTATTTAAGAAAATGGAGAATATGTTTTAACAAAACACAACTGAGTGCCACTAGGTGGTGCTTCGACTTAATTCTAACATTTTTGCAATAAAGCTCACACAGTATATTAACTTCAAGAAAAGTATACTGCGTTTTGTTTTCTTTAATTTTTTCATCCATCTGCTTCTCCACTTACTAATTCCTGGGTCTTCTTGGGTGGCAGTCTTGGAATAATTATAGAGGGAAGTGAATACGGTTTAAATTAAAACCAAGGAGAAGAAAAACACTTTTCAGCCTCAAACACGAATTGGACCACCCCTTTCACTTAATTTAGTAGAAATATTTTGTTTACCAAAGAAAATAGAGGTGCTTATTACCAGTCTCACTTCGGGGGAGTGGGCAATACCAGGATTTCTGAATTAGTGGTAAAGCCAAGCCTAGTACGCACTTTTTTCAAAAACTGGAGAGTCGAGCTCACTGAATAAGTACAAGCAAATAGCGACTTGCTCGCGCTCATGGCAGTAGATTGGCAGACCTCTCAACCACGATAGTTGGCCTTCCTCACGACCTGGGGTTTCGCTCCGATTTTCTCTCTCATAATATTTTAGAGTCTAACACGGTATTCTAGAGCTGTAAGGAAGCTACAGCTAAACTAGACTAACAGCGCCGTCCGTATTCTACAAAAGAGGAAACAGCTTCTCAGAGATAAGTGCCCTTCATTACAAAGAAACCAGCTGGTGCAGAAATGTGCTTTGCTTTTGGGAGAATACTCACCAAGTTGGTTTTCCAGTTTTGTTTGTTTGGGGTAAGCTAACAAACAAATAAACAAACAGACAGACAAACAAAAACACTCCCTTTCAGCTGATTCAACTCCTAGGACCCTATATAGGAGTTTGGAGGCTGTAAATCTTTATGGAGGCAGACAGCCTCATGTTTCTCCCACAGAGGGGCTGATGGGTTTGAACTGCTGACCTTGCATTTAGTCATCCAATGTTTACTCCAGAGATCTTTTGGTTAAGAACTGGAGAATAATGGAGAATTATGGGAATCTTTTAAAGGAACACGAGACAAAAACTGAAACAACATTTACAGTTTTCATTGGGTTGATGTTCTATCTTCAGTGAACGGGTTGAAAGTTACCACTATTCACATGTGAATGCCATCGCATATAAAAACATCACATGCTAAACTTGGAGAATATAAGTTGAATGGAGAGATTTTAA